GTAGACGACCACTCTCTCTCTCTCTCTCTCTCTCTCTCTCTCTCTCACACACACACACACACACCCCATACACACACACACACACACATACCCCACCCATCCACCCACCCACCTACCCACATACCCATGCCGACACACACACACATATGCCACCCATCCATCCACTCACCCACCCACCCACCTACCCACACACACCCATGCCAAAACACACACACATAAGACAACCAAAAGAAAATACATGGAACCATAGTTCCTGTAATAATTTTGGTGATGCAATAATTTGAGGCTCATATATCCAATGAAATGATTTTATCCAATAATTTTTTTATTTATTATTAACTTTCACAACAGGGGTTCTATATCAAATGCACTCACATGAGTGTGGAAATGTGTCTCCTGAGACTGCTGCTATCATCCTCCATGAATCTGAAACTCCCATCTTACCCGCTCATTCACATCGAGATAATTATCCTACATGATGCTCAAGAGAAATTTTTGGGTTCTATTCACCAGTGGTCCCCACAAGAGCAGGATCTCAGGACCCATCTCAAAATGGTGGAATCTATGAGTTACAGTCTCCTAACAACATGGATGTGAATGTAGTCGCATTGTGGCAGAACCCGCGCACCAGAAGGTTCTTCCTGTTCTTGATCTCATCGTGCTCCCTGGCCTTGAATTCATGAGCCCAAAGACAATTGCAAGCTTCTCACTGAAAAAAACAAGTGTGTTCTGTTACATCATCTCTTCTACATCATGGAGCACAAAGTCAGTATCTGGCAGATAACCGGCTTCTCGAATCTGATACATGCTCCTCTCAAGCTCTCTATATATCAATTAAGATCCTGGGTTCGATTATTCTCCCACTAAAAGCCTGTAATCCTATCATTAACCTCGACCATTGCATGCCCTGGTGTTTTCCTTACTGCTTCTATCTGATCATAGCTCTAGGTCTACCAACCCAACCCCTGATGCCCGAAGCTGAAAATCTATCTATGGGTGTGGTTTGTATAGAGCCTAGGCTCTAAACAATCAAATTAGAGCCGACCTTCAAATAGTGTCAATGTAATTTCAATATTGGAAATCTGTATGATAGCCTTAACATATATTTCATCTTTATTTACAAAGTATAAAGCTTCAAAAATAGTGTAGATCGACAGATCTATGAAAACTTAAAAATATTTAAAACTGACGGTCCAAAAATGCATTTGAAAATACACTATTTTCAAAACTTGAAATCCATTTTTTTCTCATACCCATGTATCTTGATGTCGAGATGATCCTATAGGTGAAAATGAACAGTGATTTCGTCTACCCTCATCACCATCCAAATTTCATCGCACGGTCACGATTGTTCGATAGTATTTTATTTTTCATTTTTTTTTACAAATCGTAATAACCTGAAATTTGGAGGGTATGTACATCTTACTGAGGCACATCTAATAAAAATATAAAAAAAAATTATTTGCAAAACAATTGACCAAAATACCCCCCAAACTTTTCGGGGATATTTTGGTTAATTAATTTCATGTAAAATATGTTTTTTATATTTTTTTTAAGATTTCTCTATTTTTTATGAATACACGCTCCAAATTTCAGGTCATTCCGATTTGTAGAAAAAAAAATAAAAAAATGAAATACTACTGGATAATCATGATCGCTATTTGGACGGTGATGGGGGTAGGCGAAATCACTGTTCATTTTAGCGCATGATTAACTTTGGACGGTGATGGGGGTAGGCGAAATCACTGTTCATTTTCGCTTATAGGCATTGCGTAGTGTTTTCATATATATATATATATATATATAATGATCATATGAGACCCTCCCACACCCATGTGTAGGACCCCAAAGAATCACCATTAAATTTGGTACAGATCTCTAGAAAAGTCAAGTTCCATACCCATGTGATAACTTTT